TCATGACGGTATTGCACTGTCGAATGGTCGATAATTCTCTGTGAACCAAATATATTGATATAAACAAGTTACCCATGGCGCCAAGCCTCGTGCCTGCAGCAACATCCACTGCATTAGCATATGTAAATCGTTTTAATAATGTTTGATTAATCTTCTGTATATCGGCGACACATTTTGGCCCGCAAGTGATACAGTGACAGAACACGTTCAAAGTGCTAAATATGGAAACGACCAACAACTACTTGGCTAGTATTAAACGACCAACAACTACTTGGCTAGTATTAAACGACCAACAACTACTTGGCTAGTATTTTTTGCAAGATTACATGGTGAAGCCATTCTCTCTATATACCTTTCGACTTCTGTTCTAAAAAACAAAACATAATTTAGTTGATAGAAACATCGCTTTAACGTTTAATAATCATAAATTAAAGACACAATTTAAAGTCTGATTCCATGGCCTTTTACTTTCTTGAGTGATCCTTTTACAAAACAAGACAGCTGGTTTTATTGTTTTTCATTCTTGCACAAGGAAAGACTGGAATTTCTTATCGATTTTTCTCTGTTTGTTTTTCGTTTATTTTTATAGCTATTTCACGTTTGTTAGTTGTTTTTTTTAAATAAGTCTTATCGACATTTTTTCGGTAATTGTAGGAATGTGTTATTATGTATGCATGTTAGGCTGCAGGTGTTCTTTCTTTTCTCTTCCTATCGTTCCTTTTAATAATTCCATTACCGATTTCAAGTTAGAGATATGTAAAAATAGCATTTTAGACCCTTTTTTATAGCCACATACCACTGCCCACGAGGCTTTTTATTTAATACTTGAACTCGTCAGCTGGGCCGGACATGATGACAGCTGAAAACCTATGTAAAAAGTATTCACTTATTCACATTACGGTGCTGTTAATTAGCTAGAAATGACATGTTTTTAGTGTTGCAGCCCTCACGCGATTTTTCATATATACAACTCTTACATTATTTATAGCTAATCTCTCTCCAAATATTCGAAAAATACAACATATCTCATTTGGTGTAGCCATAAAACGAACTTACTTGTGTACGTTTAATGTTTATCATTCGAAACTTTTGGAGTAACAAACGTTTTAGTTTACTCATTTTCGTTGACAATGATGAGACATATGGCAGACATATTCTGTCCTTACTTCTCTTTTTTTGCTTGTCTACAGTTTGGTAGATCCAGAAATTTGTAACATATTACAAATGGCGCCACAGTACAAGATGCAAATTTTACACGTACATTTACAGGGTATGTAAAGGAACTTTAAGTGTCTTCTTTGTTTCCTGGAAACGACGCCACTGTACATGATGCAAGTTGTACACTTACATTTATTGTATACAAGCTGAATACCTGTCATATAACGGGAAATAATTATTCATTTCTCTAAATAAATTTTTTTTGAACACGTGTTTTTAAAAAATCAATTATAATCTAGTAACGATATATGCATGGAGAA